ATTTTTCCAGAATAAGGCAAGAAGGTCCTTCACAAGTCCATGCAGGAAGTGTGAGTCATTACACTACTAACATATCACCATAATGTCCATTTTGATGGTCTGGAAGCTGACCTGTTGTGCTGTTTAACTGACATGAGTCTAACTCTGGGGACCATGAATGTCTGTCAAAAACGATACTACTCCAAATTCAAATGTAAACTATACTCAAGCTGAAATATAACCAACCTGCACCTCCACCACTTTTTTCTCTGGTGTAGTCATTCCTGAAATGAACTTCTAAAATGCAAACATAAGTAACACAGCCTTATCTTGAAGCTCTGAGCTGCAGGACACATGTGTTCGCAGCACTGAATGCATGACACTGAAGCTATTTCCGTCAGCTGATGCTAACTGGCTAGCTATGTATGTGACTTCAGTCAATGGCACGAGGCTCTGGAAGCTAGAAGCCAAATACGACAAAGAGGCGAGACATGCTGTTGCTAATAACTGGGACAGGACCGCATCAACATCAATCAAACATTCTCCATCACACTCAAAATACAGAGTGTAATTCATGTTCAGCTCTGGGCTTGTGGAACATCACTGTAGGCCTATGTGCTTTCTGCAGGTCAGGCAATGTCAGTCTTTCATGATTATTTAATGATATTGCCAGAATGTATTGACCCAAATCCACACTGTTTAAAATGGTTTAGGATTTTGAAATTATCACAATCTTGCGAAAACGTATTTTATGACATTTATGCACAACTTTTGCAAACTCTAGAACTAGTAAATCGACCATGAGTTTAGTTTTTGTCAAATGCCTAGAATAAACTGTCAATTTGTGAGTCAACATGTATAAGAAGACTTAAGTGCTAAAATAATTGACATTTTAATGTATCATTTCAGGGCAACACAACATACTTCATGTAGAATTTGATAGTCAAAAGCTTCAGAAGCAAATACAAGGACTTTTTTGTGGATTTTGTTCTGTGAATTATCAGATTATCTGTTCTCACAATCGAAAGGATCATTGTTTTTTCATATCTTTCATATCCGTATGTCTATAAAATGGCTAAATAGTCATATTAGCTGGCCTTAAAACAACATTTGAACTGATGCTGACATTTCAACTATTGCGTATTTGTTTTTCAAAGAATAATCATCTATTTGTACGTATCTGTTATGTTTCTGCTTTGTTGTGGTTCAGCAGCGCACATAATTCCTCTCCAGGACAGAATGTGAGTGGGTGGGAGCTGAGGATGTGTTATGAAGGCCTCTTCAGAGAGAATGCAGCCTTACATTATGCCCACTGACTCCAGCGCAGATGCTCCATACATTTCCATTCATTAGCGACATGGTGGAGAATGTGGCAAGGTCATGTGGCAGGAGAGCTGCGCTTGGCGGGTGAAGTCATCTCCTTTTCTGGGGATTTAAAATATGTCTGTATTGATACGATCATTTTTATCATGAGATCAGATTAGATTTTCTCAGCTGAAAAGCAATGTTTGTGGCAGAGTTGAGTTTGTTTTGCTTTGGACAACAGTGGTCTGGCAAAACTCAATTGAAATGTATTTATTTATTATAGGTTGCTACTGAATGTGCTTATGTTCTATGAGCTGAAGTCCCAGCTGCAACTCTGATACATTTAACCTTTTTGTGACCAGTTAACTGGTATTGCAGGCTGGAACGTTTAGCTTAGCTTAGCTTAGCTCAACAAAGTGTGGCTGTGAAAAACAAGACATACAGCAAAGGACACACGTTTTCGAGCACTAATTAAAGTCATGAACTATCATTGTATAGAAATTACGATTCTTATTTGTAATATAGTTCTATTTATAATGTACAGTAGTGAAAAAGCCATATTCTATTGGCAAAACAAATGTATTGTGCAGTGAGTGAGGTCATTAATAGAGGTAGATTATAAATCATTGTGACACGATAACAATACAGCAATACAGCCAATATGTTTAGTCAAACAGTGATTGAAGTTCTTACAATTTTTTTTGTGTCCATATAGGCTAGCTATAGAATAGACAATATAATAATGTATTTTGATTTGTATGTATCGAGTATTCTCTGCATTCAATGTCACTCATTAGCTGTAGCCCTCTCTGCTTTTGTCCTTGCTGAAAATGATGCCTCAGTTTGAGCTGCCCAACTTTTGTGTTTATGGCTCTATCTTTAGACCGGAGCAGCTCAAACACTTTTCATTTTCAGTGGTTGCCATGGAAACGGGGCTGCCAGCCTAGCGGCATTGGAGTAGTTCTGGCGTATCAATGATGAGAACAAGATGATGATGATTCAATGATAAAAATGGCTGTGCTTTGAATGATTTAATTTGGTGAAGCAGGGTTAACCGTGGCCTTTGCATCGTTGGTGCCCTCCCTGTATGTTGTAGTTGATCATGTTCACAAGAATGTCATTTTAAGCAAACATATTTCAATCCCAATGTTTTAGCCAACATATGAGAAGCCTTTGACTATAAACATTTCAAACGATAGCTGGGCCTTGTGCTGAGATTGTTTCCAAGGGCAAGACTCAAAGCTATATGGTGGCCAGTTAGCACATTTTCAATTCCGGTCCTTTTGAAAAAACACTGACATGACAATGAGGAAATACAAACAACACATAATACAGGCACAATTACAACAAAAGCAACAGCATAAAAAAGACACGCATGCATGCTGCAGGAGGATTTTTACTGCAACAGGAGGAACCAACATATTGTTGCAGTGATACAGTGAGCACATCCCATTTTTAGTCCATGCAGCTCACAAAGCAGTACAGAGAAGCAGGACATACATCAGCAATACTGTAGTTATTCACATTGTGCATAGATAAGCCATGCAGACCTACTGTAGGAGGAATGGTGGTAGGGGGATACTGGAGTCATAAGCATAAGGAATGTCATCATATGTGGGACCAATGTCAGCTTGGACTCATATATGAACAGAATAAATTGTGGTCCATGGTCAATGTAGAATAAAACTGCTTCCAGTCACAGAATGGCGTCGTAGGACATTTTCCTCAGAAAGCTTATGACTGCAAGCCACATGATCGTATTTCTCTTTTGGACACAATATATCTGGACATATCTGCAGATTGTCAGGGATGGATCAGGCATGAAGTGTCCCAGCTGTGTTGGAAGAGAGGACATAATGTGATGTTGATATATGTGATATATGCAGAGATGACTAACATTGTTATATTTCTGTATCTGTGGCCATGCAAAATTCAAGTGTGTATGGTGAATATTTGTAGTTTAGTACGAGGCTCTTTTCAATAAGTTAAGCCTGATAGTTCACTGAAATAATTGTAATGTAAAACGTTTGATTTTAAGTAATATTTCAGTTAAATACAGTGATTCTGCTCCTGAAAAGTACTGCATGTGAAGCAGATCTATGGGATGCTTTCCTCCTCTCTGGTCTCTCTGCAAACCCTGTATAAATGTGGAGTGGGCTATGTTGCCATGGTAACAGCAACCTCTGCAATTAAAGCTTTAGTTAGAGCAGTATTTCAAAAATGAACTCAAGAACAAACTACTTTTTTCAAACATAGTATGATGTATCCGATTGACACATTGTTCCTGTACATGCAGCATGTATCTCTGACAGCCTAATGGCTCTCAGTGAGTCCCTAACATTGCACAGCGGCCACAGATTATTAGGGTGTATTGTTGGCCCATGATACCTGGACTTGAGTCACAAAGGGAATGATAATAGATGTAAGCCCTCGTCACTTCACTGATCACACGCTGTGAAGCTAAATGTGGAGGGGTGGTGCACTAATTGTTTGTCAGCGCTGATGTCTGTGCCCGTCCATCATGGGCAAGGACAGCTGGAAACACACAGATTTGCTTTGTGCTGCAAATCAAACTGTTGTCATTTAAACTTTTTTAGAAACCAAACTTTACTTTGATAGTCTAACATCACATCATGGAACCACACATCTGGACGACGTGTTTCTTTATCACCATGAACACAGTGATTGAATCCCTCCCCTGTACTGTAATAATTACTGTAAGAGAGCTAGACATGGCTCAGCCTGTCAATCAAGCGGCCAATTAGCTCCAGTGGGCAACTGTGAAGTTGAGACAAGAATATCCCCTGTGGTACAAAAATAATTACCCATAGAGTGATGTCAGGACAGTTTGATCTGCAAACTTTTTGAAATCATGAACGTTTTTTAACACATCCTTAATAAGTGCCCGAAAACAATCCTAATTTATTACACTAGATTTACTGCGTACCATTTTATCTGACCGTCAAAGACCTTCAAAAAAGTACAATTCCTAATATTGTACTTTAATAAGTGTCTGTGGGTGCTTTAGTTTAGTTTTCCTGAAAGAGTACTATACCCCAGTATTTGAAAAAAATACTATATGTACATTTTATTTAGCTTTGTCCTAAAATGCCTGATTGTTACTCCCTTAGTAATGTAAGTATAGTTAGTTAATCTAGTTTTCTTTCACTGTATCTATATGTAATGTATGCTAAGCAGTGGAAGACTGTAAATATGTATGTTTATTCACTCATAATCTCCACTTTAATTTATAGTATTTGTCATTTCTTACTGTACTTTTTGAGTATTTATATTTTGTATAAATAACATATATAAATATCCATTGTCCAAATGTGATGTACTTGTTCTTAATTTTTTTTTTCTCCCCTACAGTACAACTCAATAGGAAATATTGTACTTTTGACAGGTGTGTGTGTGTGTGTGTGTGTGTGTGTGTGTGTGTGTGTGTGTGTGTGTGTGTGTGTGTGTGTGTGTGTGTGGTGTGTGTGTGTGTGTGTGTGTGTGTGTGTGTGTGTGTGTGTGTGTGTGTGTGTGTGTGTGTGTGTGTGTGTGTGTGTGTGTGTGTGTGTGTGTGTGTGTGTGTGTGTGTGTGTGTGTGTGTGTGTGTGTGTGTGTGTGTGTGTGTGTGTGTGTGTGTGTGTGTGTGTGTGTGTGTGTGTGTGTACATATGTGTGGAGCAAGTGTGTTGGCAGAGGTATTTCAGGCGCATGGTTAGGAGTGACAGACTCACGGGGAGCAGATAAAGAGAGAGAGAGAGAGAGGAGAGAGGGGGAGAGTCTTCTCAGCTGGTCTGAATCTCTCTCAGCCTACACACACATTCTGGGCTCAGTAATGTTGAACACGCTGCAAGAGTGAGCTCTACCTTCCTCACACACTCTGCCATCACCTGCCCGAGGACACAGCACCACACACACACCCGGTGAGTACACCTCTGATTCACCGGTCCTGTTTGCATGTGCCTCTGTAACACTAATGTAGAGCATCTATTTGAAGCTGAGGGCTCTTGTCAGATCAGAGATATCACTTTGTACGGCGATAACCACTGTATGTCCACTTCTCAACGTTCATACTCTCTACCGTAAGTCTATTATCCTGAGGTAACTTGTTTCAGGAGCTAAAATGAGCCCCAGGGTACTATAATGATACTATAATCTTTTCAAATCCTCTAAGCTGCCGGTTGCTTGGAGCCTCTCAGCAGGGGTTTGGCTTTACTGTAACTAACAGGACTTTTGCTTGCAGGTGAAAACACACACACACACACACACAAACAATTGAATCGATTGAGGAGCCTGAAAATCTGTACATGACATCTAATCATGTTTTAAAGCTCCTCGGGAATCCTATTTGCATTTGTGAGCATGCTGGGTGTTTTTGTAATCAACCCATGCACACAGGCACACATTCATGCACTCCCACTTACATACTGTTGTTCTGGGCTGCCTGCAGAAAAACCAGTCACCCCGTGCCCTCCTTCCCACTCATGCCAGTCACTTCAACATGTGCAGCTCATGTGGCAAAGCCGAGGAGGGATGCTAATGCCGAAGAGTGCTCGTTTTCACACCTCTGTCAGGAATCGAACGATACAGATCGTTTGATGTATTATTCAATACACCAAGCGATTCATTCTTGCTTTACAGACTTGAAGGCATAATACAGTATTACCTTGCATATATCTTTATTAGATATCTTTCTGTGAGTAAGATGTTAAGATATCGATGTACAGAGCTGAAATCAGAACCTGGTTAGCCTAGTTTAGCATAAAGACTCAAATCATATAGGGAAACGGCTAACCTAAAGTCAATGAAAGTCAATCTGAATGTAATCAAATATCACGTTGATACATTAGTATTATCCCGTAGACTAGTGAAGGTATTTGCTTTTAACCTGTTTGCGGTTAATCCATCAGAGATCAGATTAAGGAAGTAGGAGCAGGGATTAGAAGTCAGGCGGACCTTAGCAGTCGGGCTAGACATACAGGAGCGGGTCATGTCATTGGGACTGGAGTATGACATGGATCATTGAAAAACAGAGCACTTCAATACAAGACATCTGCACAAATGCATTCTCTGCCTTTCTCCAAACTACACAGTACACCCTTCAAACTAACCACAGGTACCAAACACAAGAGAGAAAGAGACAGTTGATCTGTGTAGCTACCTCTGTATGGAGGGTTATTATTGTGTCTTTGTGTAGGATATTTTTGATTGTTTTGTTAACCATAGGCAAAAGCTGTTGGAGATGGTACCTAGTTTTTGGTTTTACCTCGGTTAGGTTCCAATCAGGCTGGGCCAATACTTTTATTGTGAGGTTCAAAATGATGTCACAACTGTTGCACGAGGCGTTTCTGTGACAATCATATAAAATCCAGTCTTCATTGAGATGTAGTAGGGCAAAAATTGAATTGGTGTTACATCGCTTTGCTTTACTTTTGAGTGGGTGAGCTGAATCCAAACCAATGAAACACAACAACGCAGGCATCCCTAAACCAAACTCACCCAGTAGTAGATTTAGCTCTTCCAGATGACATCACGTTCTCAAGTTCCTGAGACATTCACAGCATGCAATGAAGTCACTGTAACCAAGTGATGCATCGCAACACCGTAGGAGGAGAGACTGTCCTAAAGTATGTCCCCCTAATATTAGAATTCCTCAAGTTGAGAGTACACAACCATGAAAAGTTATTAGAGAGAAATTACTTGTTCGACAATCTGATTACTGTTCCTCACATTGTTTTCATTCCGAATGGATTCATCTCCTAGCCCTGCCTCCTAATGTAGCTCACAGTCTGCATACTGAATCACCCCACCACACAAACCATTACCTATGTGTTGTTTGAATGTAATGAGTAAGGGGGAGAAGTGAAAGTCTACAAGCCAAGACTCTTTGGAAACTTCCCAAACAGTTTGAGCTGCCAGTGACTGTTCTGTCCTTTTGGCTAACCAGACACTTCATTAACTATCTGCGCTGTTATGGCCCCCACACACTGGTGCTGGCTTTGTCCATCATTAGCATGTGCCCAAAGCAATTATAATTGACTCTTTCCCCCTCCTGCTTGATGGGCATGGCTTCAGTCTAAGTGAGCTTCTTACTTTTTCTGGCATAAGATCAAGACTTTTGGCAGTTGGCTTTGACAGTGAACACACCTCCAAACACACCCAGATTACGTGTTAATCTGGTGTTGGACTGCAGTTAACACCTGATATCATACATTATACTCCAGGTGGGCCTTTCTGACCACTTGTTTATCCACTACGTATGACAGGTGTTTTTCATTCCCATCATAAGCTCTTTTTGGGAACGCCTCTATTTCCAGCAGAGTGTCAACAGGTGGACTGGCTAACCAGCAGCATGACCTTCAGGAGTCTCTCCTCCTTCCTTCCTCCCTCTGTCAATCAAATCTCAACCTATTATTTCATCCTGGAAGTGGGGTTTCCCAACATATGTGCTACTATTTTATTACCTCACTGCGTTAGCCGGGAACTTCCATACAAAAACATTTCACGCTGTAGCTACCAGGCTAATTCATATTTAATAGATTGTTTGGGATTAGGTGACATTTTGATGATACAGAGTTCATGACACAATTTTCATCCTTAAAAATGTATTAAACAATAAAAGAAACACAGGAATGAATAGATAACTTGCTATATATGCTAAATATTTTTAGCAGTTTTAGTGATTCTATACCTGAGGCATGCTATTTTATGCTTGTTTCCCTGTTTTGCTGGGATCAGAAGAGATATACGTATATCATTTTTTTACTGTGTGTCCAGTACAAAGAATGAAGGACAAATAACATATATTAAGCTTTTACTCAATGATGTGTGCAGATAACTACCCTTGGGAACACGCTTCTAAATTCTGTGTGGTTAATAGATTGGATGGTTTGATAGGAAAGTCCGTAACATAGATGTTGACATTTGATGGAGTTTCTTGAATAATCTCAGCATTCCTGCTGCTCCCACTCCCCCTCCCACTCTCTGCTCCTTTGTGCGGCTGAAAGCAATTACAAGTCAGAATAATTATTATACTCTCCATCAGCGAGACTGTGCCAATTTAGCTGTTCGTTTCTTATCAAATTGTAGACGTTTGGACACTTTGCCTGTGGGAAATGTGGCTGCAATAATGAGACCCACTATTAAAAGTTGTGATAATTGTTATTCTTAAACAAAAAAATCCTTCATCCTATGACAGGCAGTGGTTCGCTTTTGGGAACGACAGTCGTGCGAGTGTTTTTATTTCCGGCCTTTTTTGGGGGGGAAATTATTTGCCATTTTGTGTTTTCATTTCTAACTGCTTTCTTTCTTTCGGCACTGCATATACATACTATAAATAGCACAGTGAGCAGTTATGGCACATTTGCCTCTTTGCAGTAAATGAGCGTGTAAGAAGCTTACATTTTCCGATGCAGAACAGGAATCAGAAACAGCTCAGGCATCGGATACCAGTGGTTGTTTGAAGCAGTATGAATTACATCATTCCTTCCTATGCTTTCTATCTACAAGCTGACAGATATCCACTGTCTTCCCTGTGACATGATCGCTGTGCCCGGGCCATGTGTGGGTGAAAGGCTGACTCTAGTTGGTATGTGTGTGGGTGTGTGAGGGGGCTGAGCATGAGATGTATAAAAATATAAGCGCCTCCTTGCATACAATATTGTATTTAGAACAGACTCGTACTGACATGACTTGTGTTCATGTGATACCCCTTCTCAGCTAACAACAGTACGGCCTGTCAAGGACATTTGCCCTGCCAGCATGTGTTTCTTCTTTACCCTTAAGCACTGTGAACAGAACATTTGAATAAGTTAAATAATGTTTTAAGCTTTTGAATGAGCCGAAATGCATCGTTGGGTTTTAGAATAGGGAATTTGTCTAGGTACATGGATAAAGATGGCGTTTTTGCCCCTAGTACAATCTGATCCAGGCTCTGTGTTTTACCAAAGATTGAACGACTGGATTTTGGAGGAGTATGGTGCGTCTCACGTGTAAACTAAAACTAATTTGACTTCCGGTGAGTTTACCAGGCTCTGAAATCTGATGTGTCATGGTTGGCTCTATACAGTATGAGCTCTGGTGTCGAAAAATCAAAACCATCAAAGAAAAAAACAAACCTGGATTCGGCTGCTTGTATTAAAAACTCAACATTACATTTAATAACTTCAATAGTGGATTGTAGAAGAATGACAAATGCACTGTGCACATTCTAACCACCTATACTAATTCTCTTTTCCACCAACGCTTCATACTTTATGAATAACTTGACAAGGAGATGTTGAAAATACCACACATAGCACCACGTGTCAGTTGTCCTGGCCATGGACCCATGTTTCCCCTCTAATATTCCAAGTAAAGCAGACAGTAGTGAACATGCAGAGGATGACATGTCCCCGGCTCAGGTGCTACTAGCAGTGAACACCAGCACAACATAATGTAGCTTATTAAATGCTAAGGATCATGTTACCGCCCACTCTATGTACTCTATTGCCAGCAACTTGCCATTTCCCTTCATGTCAGCTGATATGTGGAGCTAAATCTCCTATAAAGTGACAACCGTTTAAAGCAGAATATGTTAAAGGGATTTATGTGTGCTGGATCTGAGGGAAGACGACATAAATACACAGGATGATATTGTTGAATTAGATTACTGTAATTTATATATCCAGATCAAGAAGCCTGTCGTAGTTTCTTTAGGTATTTGTACGTCTTTTGACTTTCCTGTAGCCTCAGGTTGGACTTTGTTGTGATAAGAGTATACAGGATATTATCATAGGATTCTTCATGGGGAAAGACCTGAACGTGCTAAAGTGTTAATAGGACAGGGAAGAGTCAGCCCTCCATGGACACATTGAATCACATGTTAATAAACAAGTCCACATGAAGCAACTGATGGTGACGCTTGGGAATTCAGAATGTTATTAACATATCTGACCTGCAAGATTACCTTCTAAGAAAACACAGTAGACCTCAGCAATTAAGTTGCATGGAAATTGCAGAGCACCTATCAAACCAGTTGTCTTGCATAGAAGCAATATCCTACCATTATCCTAAAAACATCTGTTAAATATGGGGCAAAATAAGAGTCAAAAATAGAATTTCTAAATGGAGATGTAATCCAAAACAACTAAAGTACGGTTGAGGTTATTGATAGATTACACTGAGCTAAGGGTTAGGGTTATATTGTGGTTACATGTTAGGATGCAACTCAATCATACCACGTAAAAGGCAAACTATACATTTGGAAACACTTTAAAAAGGACTCGATGCTTCCTGCGTCAATACTCGACCACTTTCCTTGGCCTATTGTGTGTCCTGCTGAGTCCTCCTTGAGATGTGAACCTGCTGCTCTCTTGCTCTCCTCTCTTCTCAGGAGCATCTTAACCTCCAGTGATCTTTCTGTCCTCCTCTGATGGACTGTTATAACACAGAACACCCACACACTCATGTTACATTCCCTGCACTCATTGTGCCGTTCCTCAGGGACGGATTAATCACCGTCCGACATGTGACACAGACGTGAGACTTTCTGTGGCTCCCGCTGTCAAGCCTGACATTCGCAAATCCTTAAATCACAGGAGTGTGTTATAATGTACAGCAGTAGATCATTGGTGGCAGGCACATACACTGTTTTCACATTGAATGCAGAGCTTTACAGTGCTGTGGTTGGATATATACATCCAGTCACATTATATTTATTTTAACCCTTAGATGCACGAGTGACTGAACCCTACCTTCTTCCATAAGTGGGTCAAAAAGGACCCGTATTAGAATAATATGTGTTTTTTTGTCATTTTGGTTAAGAAAAATCACTTGTATAATATTTAGTATTATATTTTTGTTCATACTAGAAATATTTTATATTTAAGTTTTCATTATTTATAATTTTAGACATTTTTTTACATTTAGAAAAAAAAACGAAATTCCATAGAAAATGCATGCGGGTCATTTTTGACCCACTTATGGAAGCTTGGGGTAGTAATACAAAAACTACAATTTTTTTAAATTTAAATTTAAAATTTGAATGACATGATATCCAAACATGTTTTTTGAGGAATAGCTGGAATATGAAATGATAAAAAAAGAAAACCACCTCACCGGGTCAAAAAAGACACACTTATGCATCTAAGGGTTAACTAGCCTATGTATGAGCATTCAATGTCTTTAAACATACTCACAAAACTACTGATGCTGAAGCTTTGAGCCTCGTTGATATAATACTTCATCACTCACTGCCATGTAAATTGTGTTTCCTTTAGGCCATCATGGAGGAGGCTGGCCTGCTGAAGGAGAGGCTCCAGGCCATCACGGTAAGGCTTTGTGCTTCTAATAGTAACAGGAGAAAGTGAAATAATCTATATGTGAAATTGTCACATTCTACCTCCCTGTCCCTTCTTCAGCCACATCTCCACTTCCTTGAAACCATGCCATTTGCATTTTCCTCGTACGCTTGTGCTAACCACAGACCTTATTTAAGGCATCTGAGCAAAAATACATTGACTTTGAGACGAGGGAACCTAGAAGTGCTAATATGCTTGCTCACTTACAGGTATAGGACACGCTCCTAGTTTCTTAGTACCTTGCCAGTTGGACCTAATGCCATTGGGGGTTCTGATACCAGATCGCTACATTTGCATATCTAACCTTGACAGTTTGCAAACATGGACCCAGTGGACACACTCTGAGAGGTGATTCACGCCGTGTATTTCCTCACTGTGATAACACCTCCAATATTAAGCACAAAGAGGCAGCTCTGTGGCACTCTGGGAGATGTTCTTTCAGGCATTGCCTTGCAGAGTTGCCATCTGGAATTGAAGAGGACTTGAAACATCCGTCTTGTCTGCTCACTTCTTTTTGTGTCCTCTGGAAATAGCTATTGTTATTATATAAGTGTCTTGCAGTGTGTTTCTGTATTTGGTAATGTTTTCTCTATTTGCACCCTTCCAGTGCTGTGATATCTAGTCTGAGCAGGATGCCATGACACATGTGAGGCACACCTGGATTTCCTGTAGTGAGTCTGAGTGGTTGGACCAGCGTTGAATGCTCTGTGTCTATGTCTTGATTTAGTTTCTGCATTTAGACAGACAGAAGCAGAACTGAGACACCATGTGAGATGCGAGGGAGGGCTTTATATTGTTCCCAGAAGGCAATGTAAACAAGGTCGAGCATGACAGCTACAGCTACAGTTAGCAGTGCAAGTTTGTTTATATTGTCCCTTGAGTCCATGCCAGATCAGCTGTCAATCAAACTTCAAAGACCCGCCCATTCAGAGGCTTGGAGGCTACATTTTTCTGATGATTCTCCAAAGACAATTGAATAGTTCATTATGTTGTTTGGAAAAGATTATTGCTGTACACAAATAAATAATTGAAAAATCTGGTGTTGGCCAGATGTTAATAATTTGTGGACCCTTGTAAGTATCTAAATCTGTGCTGCCTGATTATCCTAATTCATGACACTATCATTACATCTCAATCATTACTTTAGTCATTTCCCCTGAAGTAAGTCGATGAGGATCAGCTGATACCTCACCCATATGATATCCGAACGTGAAAAAACAAAAACATGATGAACAATTAGCGCGGTGCCAGAGTCTGAGAGTTCGTCAGACAGAGACAGCACTATAAATACCAGCAGACGTCACCAGGAAGATCCCCTTTCACTGAGGCTTAGAGCTACTCTGATCCAAGATCCAGAGGCTAATTTTAGCGCGCAGTGACCCCCGTCAGTGTGTCATCCATGAACACTGGGCTTGTGTTTTGATGTGGAGTTAAAGCCATTAAGCAGTGTGTTTGTCTGAGATTATGAACAGATATGTGTCCATTATTGAGTGTCCACATGCCATAACTTCATAGAAGATTTGTATCTTTTCTACAGCAGGTGTTTAGTAGCAGGGAAAGTTCACGTGGTAATAGTAAACAGGTGCACGCACACACAAACAGGTAGGGTCATGAAGGTTGTGTTATAAGTTATTTACGGCCGTCCAGCTGTCAGCTTAGTGTTGAAGCGTCGGCCTGTCAGGACAACAGGTGGAACACTTTCCATGCTGTCAAACGTACTCATGATGCAACCCTGTGTTTGATTTCCCTTCGCAGGACAAAAGGAGAATCCAGGAGAACATCGCCAAGAAAAGGAGAGAGATTGAAGAGGAGAAATTGAAACTCCAGTACATAAAGGTACTTTTCACTGCTTTTATGAGAAATGCAGGGGAAAATGTAATACACGGGAAAATGTGATTCTAAATGATAATAGAAATGTGTTTCCAGCAGAAACTGAGCAGACTGCAGACACTCCCAGGAGGCAATGCGGGATGGAAATGACTGAATGTGCTAGCTAATAACAATGCAGCACTCTCTGTACAAACTGAGACACAAAATGAAGCAAGGCCAGACTTTCATTTCACCAATATTAGCTGGAGTCTCTCAGCATTATATAACTTAGTAATGTTATTCTTATTCGACACAGCTATTACAAGCGGCCGAGATGGGGTTTCTCCGCAGGGTGGTTGGTGTCTCACTTAGGGATAAGGTGAGAAGTTCGGTCATCAGGGAGGGACTCAGAGTTGAGCCGCTCCTCCTTCGCGTCGAAAGGAGCCAGTTGAGGTGGTTCGGGCACCTAGTTAGGATGCCACCTGGGCGCCTCCCTCGGGAGGTGTTCCAGGCACGTCCAGCTGGGAAGAGACCAAGGGGTAGACCTAGGACCAGGTGGAGGGATTATATCTCTTCGCTGGCCTGGGAGCGCCTTGGGATCCCCCAGTCAGAGCTGGTTGATGTCGCCAGGGAAAATAAAGTTTGGGGCTCTCTGCTGGAACTGCTACCTCCGCGACCCGACCACGGATAAGCGGGAGAAGATGGATGGATGGATGGATGGATGGATGGATGGATGGACACAGCTATTTCCCAACACTTACTGTCACAGTCAACTTCCTCCGGCCGACAATCCCTGTTTCTAAGTGAAACCATTTTCAGCCAATTTACTTCTCATCTGAGGAAGATTAAGGGAGACAGTGGGTGCTCCACAGCAATCATAGAATGATGATGTGGAGCACCCACATTGTAAAAGTAAGAGAGACAAAAACAAACCATGCTGAGGAAAAACACTGAAACAATTTCCAGTGCGTCTTAGGATTGTCATATCGAGTATATCTTTTGACAACGTTATCCCTGAAAGAATGACTGTGTATCCTTACAAGCTGTATGAATAACCTTATACATAGCTTTAGCCAACCTAAGCTGGGAGAATTCATCAATCTATCCTTGATATATTTTAGTAACTCAGACTCACATCTTACTGACAAATGTACCTCATGTCCTCTTTGCAGATTGTGAACATGTGTTAATGTAACACCTTGTAAATGGTGATGCATAGAAAGAAAATGTAACTTCTTGTAATGAGCTGTATAACTCTTGAATAATACTGACTGTGTATGAGAAACTCTGGGGACATCTAGTGGAGGGTTGGGGGATGACATGGTGTTAAAAGAGGCAGACAGCTGCTTTCACCATGACGCCAACCCCTTTTGAATTACGAATATATGTTTACATACTGAGTTGCCTGTGTGTCGGTGTGTGTGACTGACAGAAGAAGGCCCTGAGGGAGCAGTGGCTGATGGACGGCCTGAGTCAGCAGCAGGAGGAGCAGGAGGCCATGAGGCTGCAGGCTGAGGACGAGCAGCAGCAGAGCGACCAGCTGCAGAGCAACATCCTCAGGTAACCTGTAGCAAATCACAGCTCATCCCACACTGAACAGGCAGGCAGCTGACACATCGTGTGGGGGAAGAAGGCATTTATATTTTGTTCAGGTGCACTGAGGCTTGTGAGGACTGAGTGATCCCAGTGGGGGATATCACTCGCTGCAGAAGAAGAATAATGTGATAGATTTTAGAGTCGCTAGGGTCAAACAAGATCTATTTTTCTGTTGAACCAAGAGTTGTTTTGCCTTTTAAACTCGTATAGCAAGAGGGTGCTTGTGGAAGCTTGCTAGTAACACTTTCTGAGTTTTGAGTATGTGTCTCTTTTTTTCTCTCCAATGTTTGGGTCATTTTCAGAATCAGGTTATATTGCCGCTAGGTTGACACATTTTGCATTGGAGTATTATGGTGCATTCATAAAAACAGTAACATGTATTTAGTTATTTTGGAAAAAATATAGTTATTATAAAAATATATTTACCTTTTTTTTTTTTTTAAAGGAAATTTTTTTACATTGATATTTAGAAAAACTTAGTAAAATATAAATGTGACAGAATACTCGAAAAAAATTAATATCTCATGAGAGCTCCATTGAAAGAACTGAGCAAATGTGCACTCATCAATATTCAAGTTTAAAGGTTTTTTTTGCTGTTAAAGAAAGTGGCGGGTCCCTTTCCACCTTTAAATTAACACAAGGGTGAAATTGCAATATTGTTAGAGGGAAAAAAAAGATTTCCTAAGAGGCTGCCAAATGGAAGTTACATCATCATCCGCTCTAAGATGCTTTTTGGAAACCAGATGTGCAGGAGTCTTGGGAGAACATGAAGTGCTTTGGAACATCAAACACTCACTAATTCACTGTCTTGTTTCTACAACCTCGACACTGGCACTGTGCCTCCGTGTGTGTATACGTGTGTGTGTGTCTGTGTCTGTGTGTGCCTGTGTGTGTGTGTGTGCGCCTGTGTGTGTCTGTGTGTGTGTGCGCCTGTGTGTGTGTGTGTGCGCCTGTGTGTGTGTGTGTGTGTGTGTGTGTGTGTGTGTGCCTGTGTGTGCGCCTGTGTGTGTTGTACTGTGGGAAGCAGCAGGGATTAGGACCAGACTATTTGACCTTAACTACCCCAGCAGCAGCATGTGTGGCAAAGCGCAGACAGTTTCCTCATTACATCACAGCACATACTTATCCCGGCTTAGTGTCTGCACAGACTCACAACACACGAGGCTTCACACGCTCTACATTAACACAACCCACTGTCCTGCTGTGAGGAACCATTTCCAACAATGTGCAGTGAATCATGACGAAAGGATGTGTCATATATCACCAACAACCATTTAATCCTTTTTTCTATTTCTTTAAGATTTGAATCCATCGTAATCGTGTGTTAGTTGCATATCTTTCAATGGACCATAAGTGTGATACTCTATATTCTTTTCTTTTGTCACAAAACAATTATTTGGAAGAATATTGACAGATTTCAAAATCTATGATCGCATGGGCCAGATTAGCAGTGTAAAGATGTATCAATGCTGTCAAACAGGACCCTGATCCTAAATGTGCCCTTTGACCTCTAAAGTGGTTAACGCTTAGATTAACACCTTAGAAAGGTCAGATATAATGTGTTGTTTTGTGAATGTACTATACATTTTACCCGGCAGACCTCTAGAGGTTTAGGAAAGAAAAATTAGGCTTTTATTTGATTAATTTCTTTAGGGTAAAACCGCCAAATCTTTTTTATTTCTAACACCGTTACACACAACTTGATATGCAACGCTCCACTTACTGTAACAGTAGAACCATTTACATGTGTATAGACCTCAGAGCCATGTTCTAAAATGAAAACATGTTATGAGCGAACACAGCAGGACTTCCCAGAATGCTGCGAGTGTGGAAAAAAAGCCCCGAAGCAAGTGTTAAGTGTTTCATTAAAATGCATTCAAATGCTCTCTAGCTGCTGCTGTTATTAAGACGAGAAAAACGCTACTCAGCTCGTTCCATTAATCAACTGTTTATTACTCTCCTGTACAGAATAGAGAAGGAGATCGAGGCGTTGGAAACACAGGAGCTCGACATCTCGGCCAATGAGGAAGCAGTTCTGAAACGGTTAAAAGAAGTGGAGAGGACGGCTGAGGATATAATAAAGGTAGGCTTAAATAAAACACTGGCTGCTTTTTATTACTTTGCTCGCTTGTGTTTTGCATACTGATTATTTCTGCTTCAATTCACCTTGAGGCGATGCATCCTGATGAGAACTAACCTTTCTTTAAACTTTAACAAACGTAGTGATTATTCAATTGAAGTGAAGACACAGGTCTATATTTGAAACAATGCCCCCGATACATATTTATGAACAGACACTATGGTAGAAAACACTGGACTAGAAATGTCAATAGGTAGCATTTATGCCGAAAGACAGGGTTTTGAAAATGTTATTTCTACTTGGCTAGAAAAGGAAGTTCATTATATAACTGAGATGTGGGCTTCTGGTTCTTTTGGATTCTTACGGTTGTTTCTTTCTTTGGACATAAGCAAGGCTGCTAGAAGTAGCCATGCTGCTAACAATGTTAACCAAATCACTTGGTTTTATGAAGCTCAAGGGACAGGAAATGTATCATCAATGTTTCTGTTGGGTATTTTTTTGCCAACAAATGTCCTGTTTATAAAACTGAGATTTAGGTTTCTGGTTCTTTGGGATTCTTCAGGTTCTTTCTGTTGGGGAATACATTTCCCTGCATGTCCTCCTTCGCCCTCTGACGCAGCTGAGCAGCCGTTATCTCCCATAAGGAGGGGCTGCCCTAGCATATTGTTGATGTTGCCAGTTTGTGAACTCTCGGTCAGAGATAGTTATTGTTGTGGGACACCTGGAACACATCCTTCTCGGGGTGTAGATGACCCCGAGCCGTAAGCGACAACAAATGTGATTCAGTGTCCTCAGCGGTTTAGTCTATCGATTGAACAATGTTGATTATTACACTCTGAACTAGTTAAACCCTCGAGCTACAGGAGGGTTCTTCAGAATTGATTGTGGCTACCGTGTGGTCAACTCGTGGCCCGTGACATGTCGTGTGAATTCTCCGGCCGAAGCTCCAAATAAACCGTCAGTGTTTGCCATCGAAGCTCCAGCTCTCCTCGTGTCTCTCTGAGTCCTGACTCCACTTGCTTCAGAAGTTTCCCCCACACTTTCTTTCTTTGGACATTAGCAAAGCTGCTTGCATTAGTCATGTTGTTGCCGAACAGATAACTTGTATATGAATAACAGGAGATTTCTGTTGGGCAGTTTTGTTGCCAGCGAATGTCCTGTGTGGTAGATTCTAGCGCTTTCTACAAATCTACTGAAACTGAATCCAATGGTCATTGTTTGCTACTCACACCATGCCGCCTGTGGCTCTCCCTCCAAATACTCTAATCTGTGCTCGCCTCTAACAAGATGCACTTACTGGGGACTGTGTGGGTGTGCTCGGCTTCACAAGAGGATGCTTCCAGTGAATAAGGTGGCAGGTAAATGGATTTCTCTCCTGGTGGGCGTGCGGCACACATGCACTAACATGAATCATTTGCTTTCTGGTTGCTGTGTTTGGACTGAAATTAATAAATGTGGCTTTAATGCGACATGGACTGCTGATGCACCATTAATCTCTAGCACTGCTGTGACGCTGCATCTCTCACCACTTTGACCTTCAACTACTCTGTCTTCACATTTAGGAGCTCAACGCAGACTTCCAAGCAGGTACAATCTTCTCTTTACATCTGGGTTTGTTTTGAGTCTGTAACACTTTTCTAAGGCTGGGTTAACACACTCTACTAATATATCTCACCTTATTTAAGTGTTTTAACCAACACAAATGAATGTTACTTATTTAAATAGTCATAATGCTTAATCTATTGTTAATATACTAACATGTTAACCTCAATTATTTATAATTCAGACACAGGGTAGTTGTTTTTTTAGGCCCATTATTTTGGAACCATGATTTCATAATTGTAATACCATGTTGTTTGGCTGAATTCTGGTAAATACAATAACTTGAGAAAGATTTCCAGATTCATACCGATGTCATGTCTGTGTTTCAGAGATTGAGATTAATCTGAACGTCTTACTTTTAGCAATAAAGAGAATAACCATACTGCTCAAACATCTTTAATTATCCCCCTTATTTTATCCTGTTTGGTGGGCCTAAAAACTTAACATTCGTTGTTATTTTGTGATACATAACTGGGACATAAAGATACCTGCTTTAATTATTATCTTTTATAACCTTACTAATCATGGCATGGCTTGGCATTTATAAAGTTTTCTCGTATCTCACTGTTCAAACTTTGTTCCTCAGATGCGATGCGTAATGCCTCCTCGCCACTCCAAGATTTACCATTCTTCTACCCTCCAATACCAACAAGAAGCCCAGCTATACATAGGCCTGGTAGTGAAGAACCAAAAAAAGGTACGGACATCATTTACTGCAGATTCTCAAAACCAGTTAGGATGTTGAAAGTATAATAAATTGCACTATGGGGAGATTTTAGATGCCTGCCAGCAATTTCCCAGAGTTCTCGGCACCCTGCTGACATCCATTTTGTGCTCTTTAGGCTTAGCTGTCTGGTTAAGACCGGGCGCTCTGATTGAAAATGGTTTCATAATGCTATTTTAAAAGCTGCAATTTTCATCAGGATGCAAATTATGAAGCACTTAGAGTTCAGTGTGAATATAACTGAACATTTCTATGCCGCCATTTAGAATTCTGCTGGAGTTATGAATCATTGACAGCAACTTTTTCATGAGGTTGGAAAAGACTGCAGCACGCTGACTGAGTAAAAACTAAAAGACAGGAGGCAGATGTACATATTGTACTGCATTAAGTAGGCATTTAATCAATAAGAAAACACTTTAAATCGTATTTTTAAGGCAAAAGCATTTAGCATTAGAAGGACAAAAAGGAAATATTTGTTTTCTGTTGATTGACTCTTTTAAAGACATGCCATTGCCTTAAACTGATCACAATTAAAATGCAATATTTGAAGTAAGAGTGTGCAATCGTGCCTTGTTTTTACCTCAAAGTTACAATATGAAATATTCAGACACTGATTTACAGTGAGTCTTTTCTCTATTTCAGCCACGTTTGCGATGGAGATCAGTGTGGAGCATGATAAGAGAACAGGCAAAAGTCAGGTGGTCTCTACTGCCACCATCACCCCAGAAAGCCTCCAGGAGAGGGGGTTAAAGGTATATGAAGATGGCCGCAAGTCAGTATATGCATTGCACCCAGATGGAGGCAAAATGCTCAGTGGATCAGTTGGAGAGATGACGCCCAAAGAGGTGGAAGAGCTTCTGCATCAAGCCGCAGATAGGAACGTTCCCACTGGGGTGCAGTACCATCAACCGGCCTACTCTGCACCCTACACAGAGAGCAGGCCTTCAACACCCAGGACGCCCAATCAAACACCGAGAGAAACCCCAACCCCAACACCCAGGACGCCCAATAAAACACCAAGAGAAACCCCAACACCCAGACCCTTTCAGAGCTCAGTAGCACCCAGGAATGAAGCTGAAGAGGAAGGCCAGCAGAGCCAAGACCTGGAGAGATGTAAGACCCCAAAAACACCCAGCCCTATCCAACAAGACTCAAGAACTGGAGAGGAAACCAAGCTGCCCTACTGCCACATTCCAGGACAATCGTTGGGTGACAGGCCTCCGATTTCACAGCCACAGTTTGGTGCTCAAACTCCTCGAGGACTCGCCAACAGGAAGACGGGTGCCGGCAGTCCAAAGACCCCGTCTCTTGTCTCAGTCAAAGCCAGATCTGAAGGAATGCCTACAACCGTTCAGCCGTTCTACATGGATGTTGATAGCTGTTGTCCTTCAGTAGCCAGCGGTCTGCTGGGTGATACCGATGGCTTTTTAGAGAGCTCTGGTGAATTCGACAGACTTTCCCCCTTCTGTTCAGAGAGTATCGAGTCTCTGAACTTCGCCAACAAACTGCCAGAGGAGCTGGAATCAGAACCGGTCACCATGATCTTCATGGGTTACGAGAACGCTGACGAAGACGAGGAAGACATCCAGGCCGAACTGGTGGTCATCGGCAACAGCGATGACGATAATGATGAAGAGGCCCAATGTAGTCCTGAAGGAAGGACCGAGGAGTGTCTCTCATACCACCCAGAGGGATACAAGAGCCAGGTCTTCCAACCCAAAATGGGAAAAGCCAACGTTACCGGCCGCAGAGACATTATTGATGATGCCTACTCAGACTGGGAGGATTTAGGGCTCCACAAGCCCACATTCATCCACAAGTCTGGGAAGCCAAGTCCCTACCTGCAGGGGCATAGGGGGGAGACGGCAAACACAGGAAGCATCAATATGGAGGAAATGAAGCTCTGTTCAACAGGAAGATAAGAAGGAAGATTACCACTTGAAGAGGAAATGTAGGAGAATAATTTAAGTGATTTGTTAAGTGATTTTCTTACAATAGGTTTGAAGATATCTCAGCCTTGCTCCTAACCTTCCTCTTGTTGCATTTATTGTGAAAAGCCTTACCTTGCCATAGTTTGCCTCTAATATTGGTTTGACTGCAGCACTTTGCCAAAGATATTTATGCTGCAGGTAGCCAAACTAAATCTTTAAAGATGTCTTGTGACCATATGTATGTGGATGTTCATCTTGTTCTTGCCTTTTAATTCTTGGCCGTTAACCTCAAATAAATCTTAACATTTTTGGAAAAAGTGTTGTTCCAGCTTTGTGTCAACATTGTTTCTTTTGGTTTGGTGCACCAAGCCAGCTTCAGAAATGGTGTCCACAGTTATTTGTGGTTACTGTAAGTGGTGACTAATTTATGGTGGTGCTTTATTTTTCAATAAAGGTGTTAATCATGCCATGGGGTGTTTGAATTTCTACTTTGAATGTGTACATTAACAGTCCTGTGTGCTGTTACCTTCTCTGTGATTAAAAATATGTCTTCATCTTCTAATTGTGACGGTGTTGTTTTGGCAGCAGTGCCTGATAGTAACAATGACAAATAGCCAGCACTTAATATCATCAGATGACTTCATACACTTATTTGCATTTTTGTAATATGATAATATGATCTGACAATACCACACCTTGGAAACAGTATGAAGGACATTTTGAAAAGATGTCTATTGCCACTTTGA